AGGGAAAGACAATTCATATTAGGCATGGAGATCTGTTTAATCACTTCAGATTTACAGAGAGCAAAGTTTTGAAGATATGTACCTGATCAACTGTTTCCTTGATTTTTCTGAGACCAACATTCAAATGCATTTGTTGTTCCTCCAATTCACTTCGTTTCTCATTGAACAAGTTGGCGTAATGGTTGATGAAGTCTAAGTAGTGGCGTGGTGTTATTGCCATGGTTCTGCCTCCTCGTTTTGCCAGACGAGCATTAGCCTTTAGGGAAGAAAAGGTTGTAGATTATTCATTGGTTTCATACTTTTTAGGAAACCGGTGCATGATGCTGTGACCATACAAGTTAAGTGGTGTAATAAAGACATACCTGATGAAGAGTCTGATGAACGAACACACAGCTATTAACAATAGCTTCCCTGTGTGATGGTGGCTGTGGTAGCTTATCATACACAACTGGCATGTAATCGGGCACGATATAATTTGGTTTCTCAAGATCCATTTTGCTTGTGAACTCTTTGCCAACTTGGTACAATGCCTCAGTTGACCAGTCTCCAAACCAGTTCAAGACACATCTGGAATACAAAGTATTTGTGAAGACTTCCCAAAAAGTACGGTTGCAACAGTACTTCTAATACATGTTGGAATATACAGCAATTACCTGTTGAAGAGCGCAGGAGAGGTTGCTGCCCTGTCCTTCAGGCCCTCAGAAGATGGATTCATAGTGAACACAACATGGAGATTGCGAATAACTTGGCTGGTGAACCATTTGTAGAGCTCCTCATGTGAATCTAACATTAAACCTTCTTTCTGTGCCCCTTCTTTACACTGAGTCATGAGGGTGGCATATTCATCTCCTTCAAAGAGACCAGGAACCTAATTCAAAAGATAGTTTTGTTGTACCTTTTAATTACAAAAAGGTGCTCAAAGTATTGACTTAAAATCTTCTTACCTCTCCATTGGCTAGGAGAGTGTTCATTCTCTCCAGGAATCCAGAATCCAATACGTTTGACTCATCCATTATGAAAGCTATTTTTTCATTTTTACAGCCGGAACGTCTCAATACTGTCCTAAGGTCTTCATCAAAATCTTCACCTGTATATTTTCTGTGAACCTAGTAGGATTCAACATTGTATATTAACATTTTGGTTTAGCTTTTAATGGGATTTTTAGGGGTTGATATTTGAGTTAAAACTAGCATGCCAACCTTAATTTGGTAGACACTCAAACCGTTCATCCAGGCAACAAATCTTGAGAGAGTTGTCTTCCCTGCTCCACTGACTCCAATAAGCAGCAAGTGGCCTTGTGGCTGACGGAAGATACTGAAAAAGAACATAACCAAGTATGTTTGCTAACTCAGTCTTTTTCCTGAACACCTAAACTTCGAGTTAGTACCAAAACTGACACCACCTTTCCAGATAGGATCCTGCTATCTGGAGGCCAACAGTATACTGTCCATGGACAACGATGGGATCATGTTCCATTCTTACTTACTCTGTACTCGGGCTACTTCACTTCAGAAAAAGTCTTTAAATCCCATTTATATGAACAGCAACTCAAGTCTGAACTTACCGGTCAATTCTTAACACATGATCCAAGACTTCATTGAACAGAACAAGTGGTACATCAAGCTCTTCTTCATAAAAGACTTTAAGCCTAGCTTTCACATAGTCTCTTAATTCTTCTTGATCCACTGGAATATAATCCTAAAAGAACCAGTGAATACAGTATGGAATTGAAGATTAAGGAAACTTCACTTAGAGGTAATTTATTAGTAGATGAAAGCAGAACTATCAGAATACTTGAAGTAGCAATCCTCCACAAAAGCTTAAGAATGCTGTATTCATTTAAACTTGCACAGCAACATGTCCACAGCTTCGAACGCCACCAACAGCAAGAGGTTTAAACACTGTATCTACTGAAGCTACCATAGCCTGAGTCTGTGCTGCCAGTAACCAAAGACGGTGGGATGCAGCATGACTGACTCACTCCCCTCTCCCTCACCCCCCAACTGATTTTAAACAGCCTTTCCTAGCCACCTGCTATTCATCAGGGAGATGACTAGGAGGCTATACCGACTTTTGCCTTGACCCAACAGAATTTCTACAGATGGCCCAGCTGGGTCACTTTAGATTGCAAGAAGGAGTCCACCATAAAAATACAGCATCAGTATTGTTCAAGGGTCACAGTCTTATTCAAGAGAGTCCGTAAGTAATAACTGTCAGCAACTTTCTGGGAGTATTATACTGTTCTTGAGAAATTACTTATATTACTGTGTGTGTGTGTATATATACGTATATATATAAAAAAAATATACTGTCTTTATGTACTGTGATACATGTCACAGTACTATCCCCGGCATAACAGCTATTAACTTTGTGGCAGAGTTCACTTCATGCAATCATAGTAAGACCTTCTTGAAAATAAGTTTAACAAAATGATGGACACCGATTATCATGTTAACCTAGTCATATGAGCTACATCACTCAGCTGCTCCAAACTCTTTTTTTATAATACATTTTTTACTTACCTTCGACAGCCAGTTGCTGTATAAGATAGGTCTGCTCATAGCTTTTTCTTTGTCAATATTGGGGAAGTGTTTCAGAGCAACCATATCAATGTTCTCATCAGTCCAGCGTCTCTCCTCATCTTCTACAAGTCTGGACAAAGAAAAATCTCAGTGACTACAAATCCCCTGTAATGTGAGGATATAATCCCATCACATGGCAGTGTTACAACTGAAGCGTATTTCTGGTTTGCACAGATACTACTCCCAAGAGCGTCTAATTACAGGGAAGGCAAATATTCCCAATTTGTATTCTGGTTATTTAACACGAAGTATGCTGCAGTTTGGTCTTCTAATGACAGTTGGCAAGGAGTGGAGAAAATTAATTTTGCATTTTAATACTCTTTTTTTTCCCTTCCTCATGTTGATTTTTATTTTACCTGTCTTGGAAGAGACGTAAGGCCTCATGGGCCCAAATCCTGATAAGGCCTTCAACCGGTAAAGTTTCCAGTGGTCGTAATGCTTCGAATATGCCTCTCACCCATCGAGTCATTTCACGAGGTGAATAGATGTAGTGTGGCTGAGTGTCTTGAGTGAACCTCTCCTAAAAATTTAAAGATAGTTATTTCATCCCAAAGCTGTACAATATTGTTTACAGGCCTTGGCACTGCACGATGTTACTTTGCCAGCACCATTCAGTGGCTTTTACCAGAACCACAGCAAGTAGTTGAGGTCTTGTACATATATTATCCATATGAAAGGTAAACTATGTGTGTTAAATGATTCAGCATGAAAAGAAGAGTTCTGACTAGTTTCAGGTTGTATTTGACAAGTTACCTGAGACATTGTGTAGAACTCTACCATAGCAGCTGTGAGAGGTTCTGCATACGTGCGAAGTGATGGGATCAGCCTTAGCATCGCACGATTGAATGTTCCGTATATCTGAGTCAGTGAAGCTGGTCCTGGGTAGTCCACATAAACCACAGGAACATGTCGCAAAAATCTGAAAGATTAGCATATGACATAGTCCAGAAAGTCAAATTACAGTCTGTACTGTTTTCATATTTTTTTTGCCAAAATTAACTAACTGCTTGATTCTAGATTATTCGCAGTAACTAGAGCAGGCTTGATTGCTTCAAAAAGCATTCTGAAGTATTCATAGCATTTCAGACACATTATTCAAGAAGTGTAACAGTGAATTCACTGGCTGGCTGTCAGGATAAGAACCAACCAGCAGTTAGTTCAGAAGGAATGAGTACAATTTCACAGCTGGTGTCAAACAAGTGTTTTAAGAACAGATTATACAGTCAATGTTTCGGCTTTAACCGCTATTTCTGTTGCTATATAGAGTTTACTAGATACATTACCTATGTGAGAGGGGTTTTCTTCCAGGATCAGTAGGTGGATTACATGCACCAACAAACTGAATTCTCTCCAGTTTCACCCATGTCTGGTCTGATGTACGATAGAACCCTCCATGTTCCACCATCTGGAAAAAAAACCCCACATAAAATCAGTAGAACACTGTATTTCCCTGAAAATAACCATTACAGCAGAGTTGATTACAAAGAACACCAAACCTGTCGAATGAAGGAGATGACTCTCTGTGTGCCATACTTATCCATATCCGGCAAGTTGATTTCATCACAGAACAGCACCAGCCACTTTCCTAACTGTACAGGAGCCAGCACCACCCCATTAGGTGTGCGCCTGTATTCGCAGTAGTGATCAAAAGTTTTCAAGAGCAGTTCTGGAGTGGTAGCACTAGAAAAGTTGAGTCCGACCACCTTAAAAAGAGAAGAGTTGAAATAAATAGGTAAAATATATTAGGGCTTTAAAAAGAGCTTATCAAGAGTCCTGAAAACAGGTACATTTGGCTTTCCACAGTGTGAGTACATACACCATCTATATTTCAGTTTACTACTTGTATTCTGACTAAATACTGTGTGTTTCGCACTGCAGGATCTCCATCTGCCATGCTGCAAATGCCTCCTGCCCAATCTTGTACTTAAAACATGTCGGGTTACTCCACCTGAGAGCTATTCTTAAAATTACCACAGGTTTTAAAATACTGAATGGAGCAATGCTCCTATATTAATGAAGTAGTAAAGGAAAGAGGTTGCTTTTAGGTTAAGGTCTCAAGATTCTGTGCAACATAGTTTGTATTTTTTGCTAAGTATACAGGACTGAGATGAAGGTATCACTGAATGCTGGCTAGCGAGTCCTTTCCATACTCAGTCTGCTTTAATCTTCAAGGAGATTTGGTACTACTTAAATACGTGCACACACACACACACACTCTTGTGTACCTCCATGTCAGGCAGAGCTCTGAGAGCACTGAAGAGGGTCATGGTCTTTCCAGAGCCTGGTGGGCCACACAGTACCAGAGGTTTGTGCTCCGCCAGCCAAGTATACAACAGCGCCTCATGGCGAACTGTATCTAGGGTTGGTACTACAACATCAGGAGCTGCAACTTTGTGTGTTTCAACTTCAATTTGAGGAACCTTGGATTGCCACGGCACCCATTCACCTGTAATGGACACCTAGGAGCACAAAAGCACAATTGGACAGTTTAGAACAGGAATAAAGCTCAACCTCTGTTACATTTTTTTTGAAGCACTAAATAGTTTGTGGCATCGAATTTATATGTTTCTTTAAACAGGCAGCTTATTTTCTGAATTAGGATAGTCTAGCATTTCATTTTCCAGTTTCATCTCCAAAATCTAAAATTAGCTTCTAGGAACACGAAAGAACAACACTTCTAGCATAAGAAATGTTTACCTCATAGTCAATTATAGGTATGTTTGGTGCAGTTGGCAGCGGCACAGTGGTGATTCTCCTGATGTATTCTCCCAGCTCCGCTCTCATTTTCAAACGACTGTCTCCAGAAAGAGACCACAGTATTGCATAGACCAGGTACCTCTGTAAGAAGCAGCAAAAGCAGCTATTGGCTTTAGAGTAACGGAACAAAACTCGAATGAACAATAAATCAAATCTAGCTGCTAAGCTGTCACATCAAACACAGCCCTCACCTAGGAGCACATTGTATTTACCTGGATGTAACGCTCTAGTTGATCTATCTGCATCGGGAAGTCTGGATGATTCGCATTGTACTGGGCTACGTTGCGGCAAGCTTGATGCAACATCGAGAACAGAGAACCAAGACAGCGCAAGCGGGTGAGATCCATAATATGCTCCAACTTGAAAGCATGTTCAAGCGCTTTAGTAACCAGGCCATTAGATGTGAAATACGGCTGCATTATTGTTGCAGCATCTCTCTGAATCTGTTGGGGAGAGACAAAACACTGCTCAGGGCACTTCCTTCTCATTTGATTACCAGACAGCAGGAAATAATGCTTCGTAATTTAATACTTTTTTTTAAAAAAAAGATGTCAAGAGAAAGCCAGTTTTTCTACGATAGGCTGTTATAAATTCTAGGTATGCCATACTAGTTGTGATACAAGTGTAACCCAAGCTATACCTGCAACATTGGGGACGCTGCTTCTTCTCCTTCATCTTCTTTACCCTTTCGCCTTCTTTGAGCTTCCTCCTCACCTTCATCCAGAGGAATACTTCTTAGTCTGGCCAGGAAGTTATTGAATATCATGTCTGTACTGAGAACATCCTCACTGAACCAGACCATGCCACACCTTGACACAGTAGCCAGAGTGGCGTATTTCAGATCCTGTACCTCAAACATGATACGCACCTAAGGGGTAGAAATTTGAAACTAGAGTTTGAAATAAAACCAAAAGCAAACAGAAAAAACCTTCCCCCCCAAAACACAGACCTTTTAAAAGAAATTAATTTGTATTTAGCCTCTCAATAGTCACCGACAGCATTACACTATCCTAGGTATTTTCATCATTACTGACTGTTACCCTAGGTTTTTACACCATCCACAGATTGTAAATAGAGTAAGTGTAACATGAAATGTTTGTTTCCACAAAAGCTACTAACTCCAGCAAACCACCACCCCAGATCAGTATTACTCCACTTGTGATGAGAAAGAGGGACAGCACTAGTATGGATTAAGGCAAAAGCAACGAGTTTATAGGACAGTAGGTAAACATCATTTAAAAAAAGTAGCATTACATTTGGTGGAAGGCTGAGACGTTCTCCATTTGGCAGAGTCAGTAGTTTGTTGTCATCCAAAACAGAGTTTAAGTTCTCAACCCATTCAGGGTCTACATCACCATCAAAGATAATCCACTGACGTTTCTGTAGCTCACCTCTCACATTGTCTATGATTCTACATTAAAGAAAATATTTATTTCAGTAGAGAACAATAACTCAGCGAGGACAGACTATCCAGAGCACAAACGTACCAGCCATTTCTCATCTGTGCTATTAAAGACTCACTTTCTCAGGACATGTGTAAACAAGCCATCTGTCCATTCTCTGGTGTTCGGATCCAAAGTACCATAGAGGTGATCTTTGCTGATTGCTTTTGGATCTATAATATGAGCAACACCTTCCACACCTTCCAGCCGTTCGAGGGCTTTCAGAAGTACTCTCCAAGCCATGCTCTTTCCACTTCCAGAGGGACCAACCATCATCAGTCCATGATTTATCTGTGTAATCTGATACAGCTGAAGAACCTGCGACAGAAAAAATGATGTACCAATAAAGTTTAAACTTCTGTAGTCAATCAAAGCTTCTACATATTGCTCACTTAAGACAGGGAAAAAGCTTCCTGCCTATCATAATAAAAAAGGAAGTTTAGTCTTATACATAAACTTCAATTCCACGTTTTCAGTTTTGTATTTTACCTTTTCAACCCACATGCCACCAACTTCCTCTCCATCACCATAGGTAAGGTACATTTCCTGACACACTTTCCTCAGCTCCTCTCGCAAGGCTGTCATCTCCCCACGATGATACTGCACTCCAGGGAATACATCAGAAAGGAGACTGAACAACAATGGGATGTCTTCTGCAACCAGTTTTGGTACCATAGTTTCACATACACTTTGGATCAGGATCTGCAGAGTTACATGTGTTTTGGTTAAAATTTGTTGTTAGGTTCACTTTACGAAATATGTTTGACAAGCAATACTTTGCTAAATACTTTACTGATAAAGCACCAGACCACCGTAGTCTTGGTAAAAACAACCAGTGATGAGGTTTCAGCCTTGAAATTACACAATGAATTCATACTGATTTTCAGTCTGTACAACTGCACTTTCTTAAGTCCCCTTCCTGTACTTTTGGTATTAACTGTTGAGGAACTCATCAGCATTAAGTGTTACGAAGGAACCACCTCCCAAGAAGATGACTTTTAAACTATGATTCAGGGACTCCTAAAACATGGTTAACTTGGTGCTCATAAACTGTCAAATTACCACTCTTTCTAACCAAAATTACTTTGCTTACATGGTTTAACACTAAATGGTAAACACTGCAAGGTTATAAGCTTTATTTAGCGTGCATCCTGTATTTTATCAGAGAAGTAAAGAGTCCACAGAAACATTACCTCTTGTTCTGGTAAGTTCTCAGCAATTTCTCCCTCATCGACAACTTCACCACGCTCTTCTTTCTCCCGCTTTATCTTCTGAATCCTCTCCCTCTTCACATTACCTGCACTAACCAGCACACTCTTCAGTGCTCTCAAGCCAAAATCATAATGACTTTGGGAAGACAGTTGTTCATCACAAAGCCTAAGAAGCAGAAGAGAAAATACAATTTGGTTCTCAGCGGGGACCAACATAACAGCCAGTAAATGTCATTGTTTCCTTGAAATGACTGCTGTACGACACGCTTAGTGAGTTGCAAAGAACATCATAGTTTTAACAACAAACTATTTTCACTGATCAAAGCTAACTGTGTTACTTACTTGAAGAATGGTACTATCTTATTGGCAAGCACTTCAGCCGTACGGAAACCTTGGGAGTACAACATGACCTGGGCAATCAACTGACGGTCTGGTTTTGTCATTGCCAAGCTACGGAACAACTTCTTCAAATTGTCAGGCAGATTTGATCTGCCTGCATAGCCAGGATTCATAGTGATGAATATTGCCATGTCAGGGCTCACTTTGACTTGTTTGTTCAGCAGCTCACAAGTAATAGGTGTTGCAGCTGAAAATAGAGTGCATTTAGTTACACCTGAGTCAGTGATCAACACTCTTAAGAACAGAAGCCATACTTTAGTTTCCAACAGTCATGAACAGTTCTCTACTACTGCAATTCAGTACAAATTTCTACCAGCTGAACATTACTTCGAGTTTTTGAGTATTGACAGTGGCTTCATCGTTAGATTTTTTGGGAGAAATTTGAGCAACAAAACAGCACGAAGCATGTTAAAAGACAATGTACAACTCTATTAGGAATGAACAATTACATACTCTTGTCATAGTTGGGGTTGGAATGCTCTCGCAAGGCTTCCTGGATGCACTGAACTTGCTGTGAAACAGCAGAGAGCATACGCTCCTCCAGTCTGTTGAACTCGTCAAAGCAGCCCCAAGCACCCACTTGGCAAAGTCCCACAAAGATGCGTCCCATTGCCTGCACATAGACGAAAAAAATCACTGAAGCTGCTTGATCACTCTTGCAGAGAAGAGCACTTTAAAAATGCATCCAAGGCAGGAAGGAGCTGTATTTACATGCAGGTTACTGTCTTTGTAGTACTGTAAGAGCTATAGAAGGTTTCTAACAACTTTCAGACCTTCACTGCTTCACAGATTAGGAACGTGGCTTCCTGTTACTACATACTAAACTGCAGCATATTCACAAACGTCAAAGTCAGTCCACTGCATAATGTTTTGTTTGCTGATACCATTAATAGCAGGTGCAGTTCTAGTCTTTTGCACAAAGATATTAGAATTCTGAAACGTTTCAGAAGAACAAATTGAATGGGATGAGCATGATAAGGCTTCCAACTTTTAAGGTAGGATTCCACAAAATGCAATATGAGGGAATATGATGGAGGTCTAAAAGCCACTGTTTTAGGATGAATAGAAATCAACCTGTCTAGTCTTCTCCACTACAAGACTAAGGAATTATTAAAAAATACAAACCAAGGCATTCCTTCAGAAAGTGTATAGATTATAGATACTGGCTCAGTAAACACGTATAGAAAATCATCTTGAAAATAAACACTGCTGGCTATTTTGGAGTTCTGAAAAGATTCCTATTGCAAAGGAAAGAGGACATTTCTCTTTAATCCAACAGCTTACCTGGAAGTCAAACGTTTCATCACAGTTGAAAACCAACACAAAGCGGCCAAGTTGATGTCCAAGAGCCTTAACAGATTCTGTTTTACCAGTACCAGCAGGACCTATTTTTAAAGTGAGACAGACACGGTTTAGTGTTTGTGATCTAAGGTACCAGTGCTTATGCATGTGATCTGCCAGCATGCCGATTCTGATGGTCCCTGACAAGGAGATTATGCAAACCCTAGAACTGTTACATCATTCCCTAAAAGACTGTTTCGTTCTTTGATATCTTAGTTGCAGTGCTCTGCGTGTTTACATTAGAGCTATATATTAGGAAGAATTAGAGTTTATATACCTGTACTTCAGTACAAACTTACCAAATGGTGATCCTCCAAGTCTCGCCTCCAGGGCTTGTGTCATTGTCAGGTAACAGCGGTCAGTAAGAGGAGTCTGTACAAGTTTATCCTGAACACCAAGGTACTCAAAACCGTAGTTGAATTTGGCATTTGCCATCTGAATGGACAGCTGTTGCAACACATCTGTCTGCTTTGGGTCGAAGTAGAACCGCATTTGGCTGAGCCACTCAAAGGATTTGGAGTTGTCAATCTTGCTTTTGATCAGTGATCTTGTAACATCTCTCTGGTGCACCAACTCGGTGATCTGGAGAACGAAGTTAACTCCTTAGACCACAGCAATACAAGCCATTGCTAATAAAACCAGGAATCCTACAGCTTCTCAAATTAGTGTAGTAAATTCACATTATTCTGAAATCGTGACCTACCAACAGCCTCTACCTCAAAATCTGTTGTTACAAAGACAACACTAACAATGTTGCCTGCTCTTGTTAAGGACTTCAGCTTTCAGGAAAGCTGACAGACAGGCCGTTAATTCACTGCACTACTGAACTAGATATTTCATTTGCCAGAAATAAAGATGATAAGTATTCCTAAAATAGACCAGATATTTCCCTATAAAAATAACCCATAAGATTTTAACTTTTCCTCTCCTCTCAAACTTTATGTACAAACAAAAGCACATAATAATTACAGTAAGAAGCAGCTTAATGAGGCATTTTACATTTTATAGAAGAAATCGGCAACTTCCATATTGAGAAGAGCTAGTCTGAAGATCATTTCAGTGAGCTAGTCTATAATATGCTCTCTTGCATTAAGATGACTAGATCGAAAAACTACCACCACCCACAGAATCAGGGACTAAAGCAGTTGCTTGAATTACATGAAACTTCCTCCTAGAGGGAAAATAAGCCAAAGACTTATCAATCCTTTCATTAACCTTTTATAATTCTAACCTGCAAACCTGGAAGAGCAAAGGAGGTTTTTACCTACCAAGTGCTCCAGTTTCCTTCTGCGAAGAGGTGGCTGCTCCATCAGCACAGAGTCTGCCAGGACATTGAGTGTGACCTCAACGTTAGCTAGCACAGACTGGAGAGGACTGTTGTCTCCAACTCCACCCGTACCACCATTGAGGGCTGACTCGACGTTCTCAGACCACGCAATCTGGGCTGACAGGACAACAAGCTGCGCCTGTGTAACAGAAAAACCTCGTCAGAGAGTCTTCCTTGCTGAAGTAGCCAAGCTGGAGTATGCTTAAGAGTTCCACATGGATACCTGGTATTTGTCGATCCAAGAGATGTAGACTGCTGGATCAATTGAAGTCGCTTTTCCAAAGATTTCTACTTCAGTAACAGATTCTGCAAGCAATTTAGCAAGGGTCACTCTCATTTCTTTTTCAACAAGAGTGAGCCACTCATTGATCTTGGGATGTTCTGTGATGGAGACAGGTGTTTTGAACAGCACCTGCAAGAATTAGGTTTAAGTCAGCCCATATTCATATATTTTCAGAATTCTACTTAAAAAGAAACACTGCAGCTATACCTCCTCTCCTTCACGTGAGGATATCCCAAGAACCACAGAATTATCTTCATTGAGAATAATACTAGAAACACCAGCAAACATCTTCTTGAAGTGTTTCTGAAGCTTAGCAACGTTTTTGCTGTTTCCAATGATTTCCAGCAAGTCTTCATCACCAACAAAATAAAACCTAGCAATTACATAAAATCAGATCTGTATCAGAATTCCAACTACCTCTTTTACTTTATTTATGTTTCATAGATGGCCACTATATAGGAGTAATTTCCTCAACACTGGAAAAGTACATGAACCATAAATTTGCTAGAAGCCATACTTCAGTTTTAAAGATTAGGTCTTAGTTCATGTGGTCTGTACTATAAAAAAGCATATACATGCTCCATGTTGTGGATCGTTTTCTCTACCCATCAATCCCTGAAATATAGTGGATTTTGGGATTGAATTAAGTCTATCAGGCAGGGAGAACTCCCAGTTAGTACCTCCCTCACCCTTACCCTCTCATGCTATGTGACAAACTACTTGAGGACTACAGGTAAGTTAGAACCAATGATTTAAATACTTGATTGTGACTGTTTAGACACTGTCCTTCAATCAAATGTGAGAACGAAGCAATTCAAAACAGAACCTGCAAGTTTAGAGAAATCAGCTGCAACAGTTCCTTAAACAATATCTGAATCCTACAGCTAGTCACTGATAAGCACGTAAGGCAAGTTTTAGTTTCACTTCCCGAGAAGCATACGTAACTGAATTCTGTATTTAGACAATACAGATCTAAACAGTCATAAAAGCTTATATATATAGAGAGATATATATGCAACATAAAAACTGGCAGAGGCTTTACAAGATGGTACACCAATTCCTGCACAGACAGAGGTTACTTTACATCAAGAGTCAAATTCTTACCGTGGGAAAGAGGACCTCTCCCTTTCCAAGTATTCTCCCAGTGCCTTCTGTATCTTCCCAAGCAAGTCTGCCAGTCTCTCTAATGACCTCTGCACACCCTGAATGTTAAGAACATCCATCACAAGAGGAGATTTGGACACCTTTTTCATGAGTGCCAAAAATTCAGTGCTGATGCTGCAATAAAACAACACAGTACACATTAGCGCAAATTCAGTAACCACAGGCCTCCAGAACACCAAAGCTATTTGTCTCTAAATGACCGCAATCTAATTGTTGCGACTGCCCCAGGGAATACAAGGCTGAATTCCCAAAATGGCTCTTCATCTGCCTCAAGTCCACAACAATAAAATCTAACTTCTTTGCAACGTTCAATCAATTCCACTAGTGAAGGTCTATTTTCCTTTGCTTCCTGAAAAGATGCATGAATCTGATTCTTTGACTTGACTGTGTGTGAAATAAGTAAGGATGACCAGAGCAACTTAAAACAGATGAAAAAAACAATGTTTGAAGAGAAAGACTAAAGGCTACAGCAACAGAAATCAGCCTGTTTGTTGCACCCACAATGCCAGACAAATCCTTGAGGCAGCTGACTGCAGCTAACAAGAAAACACACCTGGATCTCCACCATCTTCCTTATTATAAACCTCTTCTGTCACAGCTGCCTACACACACCCCTTGCTATACTTGTTTGCTTCATGAACTTACATTTACATCAGAGCTTTAATCCATCTGGACCAGGTAAAAAAACAACCAGTATTTCAACACAGAGAGGGCTATAGTGAAGTCATGAAATTGCAGGCCTGACCACATGGTGCTCCAGAGAGGCAAGAACAAAGCATTTAAAATGTTACCTTTGGAACCGCTGAGTCTCCACAGGCAGCAAGTGCTTGATGTCTGCGCTACCAGTAAAGATACCCTCCAGGTAGACCCACCGCCTTTGGACATCTATCCAGACATCAAAGAGTGCCATGATACGGTTCAGCTTATCTTCCCAGCTAAGGGCATCTTCCTCAAACACCTGAAGTTTAAACATTGCATTAATTTTAATAGTATCAGGAGTTTTGACTGTTAATAATTATTAGTGAAAACGGTTGCTTCAGAGTTACAAAGGATGCACATGCAATTGTCAAATTAAACAGTGAATACAATCCCTGCTGACAAATACATAAACTAAACAAGAGAAAAAGGCAGAATTAATAAGATTTGTTCTCCATTTTACCTTGTAGTAGGGTGACAGCTTCATAGCAGACACGCTGTTAATGTGCTCTTTTACTTTGTTGAAAAGGTCATCCCACCCACGAATCAAACGACATTTGTTCTGATAATTGACCAAGTCCAGCTCATAGGTGTTCCACACCTCTCTTATCTGAAGAAAAAAAAATGAGGATATGACATCAATAATTTCTGATCCAACACAGTTCCAAAGTAGAAATACATTAATCAGATTTTACTTTTTTTACCCAAGTATTCTGAGTTATGATCAAGCTTTTATTAAAAACATTAAGAATACGATTCGGTTAGTTAAACAAGGTGCGTGTCTTTGCAGTCATGATCAAAGATTGTTTTTCCCAAGTAATTCAAGTTTCATGAGAGGAAGCTTACAGAGCTGTAAGATGTTCTGCTAAACAGAGTGTTTCACAAGGCCTCAGCACTTGTACTGACAACTTAAGACTGTCAAGTTCACTACACAAGCGAGAGCCACCTGACAGTAAGCCTTCGATTTGCTATTACATGCACACATAAAAAAGCTGATACTAGCCTGTTTCAAGAACTCTTCCAAAGCCATCTCTCCCTGAGCCACAAGCAGAACATCTTTGACGATTGCTTCATTTCTCTGTAAATCCACATCCCAGATCTGACCCAGGGTCAATTCTGAGACAACCCAGTTAACATGGAGCCTTTTCATCAGCTGTTTCCAGTGACGATCTTTAAGCGCCTCGGATTTCAGTTCAATAACTAACATGTTTATCTACAGAAGACAAGAAAGCAAGTTACATCCTTGAACTTGAACCATAAAATACATGTGTTTTAGAAATGTGGACAGCTTACCTTCATGTAGCCCTTCAGAAGTCTCTGCACGTACTCATAGGAGGCATACTGTCGCAAGCGGGCAGGGAAGTTTTTCAGTTGGTTCAGCAAACCATCTAAGTTTTGTCGAAGCTGTCAGTAACATAAAACCGATGAAATCTTTCTCTGCAAGTGCTGTGCACATAGTTGCTCAAATTTAAAGCTTTCTATGTATTTTTACCGAAACGTCTCGCTAGTCACCTCGTCTAGTGTTATACTTATTTGTGTAAAATGCGGTTATTCTATGCCCAGGAACATAATTCATTGGTCTGATTAAAATTTGTGGCATAATATTGTCACAGGCAGTTTATGACTTAAGGGTCCTATCACTCCCCGAGAACTGAACTGAAACTGATACTGTTAATCCAGCCATACTATGAAGTTTCCCTAATAAGGTCCATGAGCCTATTTAAAACAGCGCAACTTCTTCTGTGTAGATGCAGTCCAATCTCAATTTCAAAACTACAGGAATCCCATAAACCTCTTACAAAAATACTTAACTTGTGACAAACCCTGTGATTTTATTTTTTTGATTGCTTCACATAAGAAGAAGCATGCTCACAAGATACTGAGAAACAGGTACCTAAACACTGAAAACGAGCTGGAACTAGACAGCTGAACATGCCTATCTCAAGAGGGCTAATTCTTAATTTGCATATACTTGCAGTAGTTACATTGTTTATGTATACAGAAGTCAAGTACCTTGCGAGGCTGCACTGAAACCCAGGGCTGTTCTTTCATTTGATCAATCTGTTCCCAGACCTTAGAGAGTTCCGACCAGACGCCTTTGAGATCCTGCAACTCTTCAAGGGCTACCTATAGTAAAGAACGTATCAAACAATAGCAGTTATTCCTAATTTCTTCAACAGAATACTTTCAACATCTTGCCCATTCAACAGAACTGCAATACTAAACTACCCAGAGGAGATTTTTGCATTTCAGGTTATGTAATAGCTTCATGAGAATAAGATCATCAAGAAAGACCACAGGCAGCCCCTTAAGGTTAGAACTGGAAGCCTGTAGAGACTGTGTCTTGACACTAGTACATCAGATGCTACAAGTCACTCTCTTAAGGGAGAGCAAGAGAAATGAAAAATTTTTATTTGAAGCTGACAGGACATCGTGTGAGCAGGCTGTACCTGGACACGCTCTTCGCTGCCACTGAGCAGTCCCGTATCTGTTAGTTCCAGAGCTTCCTTGGCCTTTGCGCATTTCTCACGATCATCCTTCAGCCTACCGAACTTTCCTTCATAGATGGTAAGAGCTTGAAGAGCCTCTTCTGGGCGCAGGTTTCCCTGAAGTTTGCATAGGATACATTAATGCAAAAATGCTACCATCAAATTGAAAGCAAGGACTAAATACTAAATGTTCACTTGTCTCATTATTTTTCCATTTCCAGTTTTTTGACAATAAGGCTACATACTAATCCAGAGTAAGTCTCATCCCACTTTTTTTCAGGTTTACTAAGCAACATTTTAGGGGAAAAAAACCCCACAGATCTTGTTTCTATGTCCTCCTACACGCATGCCTCTATAACATGTCCCTTGTTTCAGCCAAAGCTTTGTTACTAACTGAAGGCATCCTACTTTTTGGACCTAACAGAGGCCTACATTTTAAGGGTGAATTTCCCTGTGCCACCCCGCCTCCCAGCCCAAAATCAACACACTGGCAAGTTATTATAGAACTCTCAAAGACTTTCACCATCATTGAAAATGAAAAACTGCAGAAAAGCATAAAAATAATCTGCCTACTTCTTATTCAATGCAGAGAATCTACCTTATTTGCTGAATGAGTATTAATAATCACTACTTACTGTTACAGGCTTTGTTTTCTCCCAGTCTGTCAGCAAGTCAGTTGTTCGGCTCTCCACTGCACGATCCTCTTGAACTATCTTCATCTGCAGATTTGCTACTTGTTGTTGAATGGCAGAATCCTTTCTACGCATGATGTCATTAAAGGCACCCCATTCTCCTTCAATGTTGTCAATGTACAACCAAGAGGATGGAAACTGGAACCTCTGTTTCTCAAGCAAGCGCTGACCATTACGATAAAGCTGCAAGAAACAGTCGCCGTTAGGTTAAAAGACAAAACTAACTTAAGTCACAAGACCAAATAATGCATTTCAACAAGTGCTCATTACAGAGTTCATAGGATTCATGCGGACACTAAGTTAGAGTCCATTCTCAAAAGAACCTGAATACCATGAAGGTGCATTTTAAGAGCTAAGCCTGACATTTCCCAAAGTAAGAATCATTAGGAAGACAACATACCTCAACTTGTTTTTCAAACTGCTTGATTTTACGTTTCAAGGACTGCACGTACGTGATGAACGTCACTGCATCTGATGTGCTGGCAGTGTCCACTGAATGCTGCTCCAGTTCTTGACGGGACTGTTTGGGGCACAAATCAGTGTTTTAGAAATCTAGAGCTGTTGATCTGAAAGTGAAAAACTGGAATTTGGACTTGTCTTACCTTAGAAATTTGAGAATGAAACTCTGTCATATTCTGACCAAGCATTTGGCCAAATTTGCTAAGCACTTCCTTGTGCCAGGAGTCATACTTCAAGTTCACCTTTGATTGTACCTACAATTGAATAAAGTTACATAATAAGTAATCTGTCAGCCTCCCTATTTTCTGAAGTACATCCAATCTGATATTTCATGTATTTATCACAAACAATAATTAGAATATCTTACCTTGCCATAGTCTATGACAACAGGTCCAAACTCCTTTCTGGTTTCTGCATTGTCAAACGTTCCTCTTGCCTTTCTTATCTGAACTAAAAGGGCTTGCCACTTGTTCAGGTCTTCTCCAAGACGGTTGTATATGTTTTCAGCCTGCATATCCCACAGACACTGATACTGCAGCCAAACCTAATCGAGGTAGCGCACAAACAATGTTCAGTACTTCTACAGTGGATGTCCTCCAAGCCCCCAGGAAAACTGAGAGAAAAGTCCATGCTCGTTTTAGCTGTACCATTAGGTGGAATCCATCTCCTACCTTGACATACTGTTCCACTTCGGTCACAATTCCCATGACAGCAGAGTATGATTCCTCCAGAGCCGCAGGACCATCAGGCATCCTTGTCAATGCATTACGATAGAATTTCTCTTCCTCAGACAGCTCATAATGCACTCCAACCTGACAACCACAAGTATATATGCGATATGAATGTATTTCCAGGGCACTCAGATTCAGTCCAAGAGCAACACAGTAAGATATTGAGCACAATTCACTGCAAAGTGAAAATAATTCCTCGAGCTTAGATACAGCTTCATTATACTTACCTGATATCTCTGACTTTGAATTCTTGGTAGTGACAGGATTACCATCTTCCAAGAAAACATTTCTTGATAAAGTTTGTATCTACACTCTTCAATTGGTGGATTCAAGTATATCACCTGGTTGGTTATTCTTAGTTCATGTACAATGTTCTGCAGAAACAGTAAACACTCAGTTTTACTGGCAGATGCTACTACATGTAGAACATGTAGACTAGAATTTCGGACTTCAAGACGTAGTACACAGTTTTGAAAGACCAACTTGTATTTAAATAGGAGGAGGCAAGTACACCTCCAAAACCAGACAGAGAGGAAATATTTATTTCCCATATAAGCCTCAGATAAAACTCTCACATTAAGGAAAAATAAGGAAATAAACGAAAAGAAAACAGTAACCAAATAACGATAATAAAACTCCCCCACACCTTACCTTGATCTTGGGTTCACCACCAGGCTTATGGCTAACTTGAGGAGCGTCTGTATCCATGTCAACTTCTGCTTTGTCATCTGCTTGTCCAAGAAGAACTTGGGTCCAGGCCCTCAGTCCAGCTTGCAAACGAACCCCCAGGATTCTTTCAATCTAAAGAAAATAAGCCACATTGGAGCAAAACAAAAAGCATGTTCACTGCATTAAGATCCCCACTGTTAATATATTCTGACAGTAGGCACACTATGGTGCCTCAATGAACCAAGTGCTCCCTTACTAAGTCACTGAAGAGGTTTAAGTGTTTTGATAAATTTTCACTGGATATCAATTTAAAGCTTCTCCTGTCCTTGTGGACTTCAGTGTAATGAAACACTGCTTTGAAGTCGGACTAGTGTCCGATAACCTGAAACCTAACTCAACAAGCAGAACCAAATAATACGAAGGCAAAGAGACTTTGCTACCAGCACAGCAAATTTTCACCATCCTTTATCTAACCCACCTCCCAGCACCTTCTAGACAAGTCAAGCTGTATCAAACTTTTTTCTTCAAAAGACAAAACTCTGCTTTGGATTAACTGATCCCAAAAGTCAACAGCCAAAACCAAGCAGGTCTCGTATCTTCTACATACTGAAAAAGCACTGAAATTTTCAGAGAGTGAGGTGACAGAATTTTCCCTGGGTGACTACAAAGAGTATAATAAAAAGCATTTTGCATCTTATTAAAATATATACTACTCCTCGATCTCAAACCTACCTCCATATCCAACTTATTGACCCAGATTGGCAAATTTGAATATGAATGAAGATTTAAGTCATCCACAGCTTTCTGAACCCTGTTCAAGATTTCGGAGAAAGTCTTGTGGTCATACATGCATGTTTCCAACGATCTCACTTCCAGGTCTATTTTCTCTTCGATAATGAGCAGATCATCCACCTAAAACGGTTTAGGAAAAAAAGGAATGCTTAGTTTGACAGGTTAAATAGAGGCAATAATAATTATGCAGTAATGGTTAGGCACTTCATTTGGATTCAGCAAGTCTATGAATTAGTAGTACTAAAAGACACATTCAAGTGGTCCATTTGCATCAACTCGATCAGCTACTTAACCAAAGAGCTACAGAATGGGTCATCAGCTATCCAATTCTACTTCTGGTTAACCACACATTACTTAAGTATAAAAGTAAAAATTTTGCAGAATTTGCAAGATAAATCAAACCTTTTCCTGGAAACTGAAGACAGTCTCAGCCAGGCGCTGTACATACGGATCAAGTTTGTACGATTCCCACACGAGTGCGATTCCTTCTGCAATCAAAGCCTGAACCTCTTTCTTCAGGCCAGCAACCAGAAGTGAGATAGTATTACGCTCTTCTACTTTCTCACACGTTCGTTCATATGTACGGACGCTTTCGATGAGCGAAATAGCAAACGGATAGAGCTGGTTTGCTTGGTGAGCTTTGTTGACAATTGCTAGTGGAACACGGAAACCAAGCCACTTCAGGTTTCGGACTTCTTTTGAAAGTGTAATTATTTCTGGGAGGAAGTTGACTTTCAGTTTCAGGACATTTCCTGTTCGACCTCTAACACGAGTGCTTTCAATGGTGAAAATACGACCAGACACACCGAGATTGCGTTGCTGAACTTTTCTTGCCCAGTCATCAAAGATCTCTTGTGTGTTGAGCTTCATGCGAAAGCTATCTCCATCCTGCTTTAGCTTCTGACCTTCTACGTGGTTCTCCCAGCCTTTGCCAAGGACATCCTCAACACGCTTCATGTAAGCGGTGAGCTGCCTGTCAATCTGTTTGGCCCAAATTATAGACCCAGACACAGGAGGCAAGTCACGAACATGACTCATTTTACAAGCTTGACTCTGGGGGTACTGTACTTTAAACTTGTCATGAAGAGACTCAATGTCATCTTTTACACGCTGGATCAGTTGTGTTTGATATTCACGAATGGCACCGCGAATGTGAGGCCTGACAAACAAGGCATTAAACCGAGAGAAGATTCGGAACATCTCATTGGCATTCTTTGCTGTACCAAGCTGGTCTCTCAAACGGGCAGTTATTCTTGTTTCAACTCTATCAATTCTTTCATCGTACCGTTTCATTGCTGCCTCCCAGGCTTCTGTACCTTCTTTGGAAACATCTAACCCATCTACTTCTTTAACATTCTCGTAAGCCAGATTGACTTCTTCAATCGCATTAGCATCCGCAGCATCAAAAAGGACTTCTGCTACCTTCATATCCTGTGGTTCAGGCACCTCTCCTTGATTTTGCTGGGCAACAGCAGTTACCTGCATTAGAACCACACTTTGGTGAGTTGGATGCTTCAGAATTTAGCTACAAACAACATCTGAACACAGTCTGTTCTAAGAAGAATTGCAAGAAACCTAAAATTAGTAACAAATCCTTAATAAACTTTCAGTCACGTCTCAGAGTTAAGTTCCACTAGGAATGGGGAAACACAGTTCCTTTACAAGCTTCCACTATTCTGCAGCATAATCTCATTTTCACTGTGGTTTAGTCAAGCTCAAGTATTTACACACTTATTAATCTCCTCTGTTACGACTCAACTTGCTGTGTCTATTAACATGAGCGTGGTCACGTAGCATGTAGCGTAAGTCGGAATTACAGCTAAGCCTATCAGCTTATTAGTTCAAAACTAGACTGTTCCTGGAAGCAAACAGCGAAACTGAATGTTGCATTAGTTTTGTGTTGGTAACTTTTTAAAACAGTAGTGACCACTCTTGAAGTTGAATACTCTTGAGGAAACCACAAAAGTTTCCTGTCCGCTAACAATCAAGAATATTACCTGAGGTCGCAAGACTCTCACAATAACTGCCCTCAGCTGCTCATGCTGACGCCTGAATTTCCTCATTTGATCAAGACGACCTTGGAGTTTCCTATGAGCAGGATTGATACGCCACACCATCTTCAGGTTCTCCTCCCTTTTTCTTTTCACAATATCTCTCAGCAGAACTTGTAGCTTCTCGTATTCATCATCCCAGGTTTGGAATACTTCAAAGCATGCAACCATCACCTGAAGACAGTTTTAGAACAGGAACTTTAGCTCTCAAATAAGACACCTCCCGAAAGTCACAATCCAATTAAAAACATAGCCATCAGCATCACAAAACCATAAGTGTACCTTTTCAAATTCTTCATAGGCAACATGCATCAGTTTTCTGGTTCCCAAGACTTTAAGGAGCTGAGAGCTCAGATCTCTTGAAATAGCCTCCACCAAACGCAATGCCCTTTGGATGGGGTATTTTGTGTTTCTGATTTTCCTCAAATGGGTAAATATTGCAACAAGGGCCTGCCTTATTTTGTCCAGCTCAGTAGCAGACAGCAAGTCATTCAGTGGAAAGTCTTTCATCAGTGGGTTATAGTCATTCACTGTTTCCAGAGCCTGTTTTAGCCCTAAAAGTAACAGAAAATATTTTTAGTGTAACTATTCATTTCACTGATCAAATCTGTAGGTTTAACTAAATAAGGTTACTCTAAACAGCACTGTTCTTGGTACCACAACGTTAAAGTTTCCTACGAAGTTAAGTTCCCTAGGACCTTTGTGAAAAATTTTGTTCAACCACTATTTTACCTGTGTCTGTATCAAAGCTGACAGTTGCATGAAAACGTTTGCCATGTTTCAGAATATCTAAAGTCAGAAGAACTTCTGGACTTTCACGTTTTTCCTGAATGCGATACAGAGCCCGTTCCAAATTTAACCAGAAGCTGATCTCCTGTAATGCAGTGCCTGATGCAGGATCTCGATCTAATTTGGTCACCTTAAAAGTAACAGAGAGAAAGAGAACGGAGGGAGAAAAACGTTTAATATATAGGCTTCAACTGCAAAAATCTGCTCCATTACTAAATCTCACTGAAACACGTAGTATCTACCAGGTTTTAATAATCCAACTTCAGACAGTTTTGGCACTCACTTTGTGAGAAGGGCAACACAAGTCAAAGGTTAATTACAGTGGTCCTAAAGGTTAGTTTTGTGACCTTCATGTAGTATCTTTAGCACAGCCCAAAAAGGTCACCTTTCTACTTTCCTGGTCAGTGTCTGTATTCTGTTCTGGCGAATCAGGCAAGGAAATCAGTGTTTTATACTCTGGAGTAAGAAAAGGAATCACTGTTCTATGAGCAGTAGGTATTTATGTGCCCATGGGGAAAAAAAAAAGCCATAGTAATATCTGAGATACTATTTTTGAGTAATAGCAAAAGAAGAGCAGACTTCTTTTGAGAAGTTACAGGCAGGAGTACAAGAGATTACAAAACAGGACCGGAGCAACTGTTTTGAAGTGGTTGTGGATGCATCTGCAGAAATACTAAAACAAACCAATGCTTCTTTCTCTCAGTCTCCTGTAAAGATTTGAAGAGTTACAAAATTTAGAAAGTTACTGCCAGTTGAGTCTATTACAACAGAGATAAAAAAGTCATGCTCTCAGCTACGTGCAGAACAATTTAGACTGGACTCTAAATTTAGACTAGGCTTAGTCTAGTCTAGAATTAAGACTTAGTCTTATTTAGACTAGTGACTCTGGTGACTCAGAATACTGGTCTCAGATCTCCAGGGTATCCTGCACAGAGCAGTATTTTTACCAGTTGAACTGTGAAGACAATAAACAATGCAACACAGAAGTTCTTATCATACAGTCTAGTACCTTTTTTAATCTTTTTTTTTTTTTTTTTTGTACCTTTTGTATCTCTCTAATCCAGCGGTTGACTCCAGATTGTAGCTGATTGAGGAATAATGGATCCTCGGCCTTCTCACCAAAATCTGTAACCTTTGGTTTTTCTCCACGTTCGTAACACTGCTTGGCCACGTTAGTAATGGTTGCATGAATTGGCAGACTAATCTCTGGAATTTCAATATTCTGCTGCAGATGCAAGAGGCCCATTTCAAGTTCCGCAATCTTTTTCTCAACTGAAGGGGCCATCTTATCTCCATCCCTGAAAAAGCAAACGTTTTTCTGTCTAAGAAGCCAAAACAGAAACCATACACAACACATTTAAGATGTCTGAACTACTCTCCCAGAGTCAGCAACAGCAACATATGCAACTCTGTGCTTAAACACTTTCACGTGACTTGCCCTGAACAGTCACTGTTATATTTTTCATTACACACCTTTTTTAACTCATTAAAAGAGAGAAGTGTGGTATTTACACTGAATTACCTGTCTGCTTTGCCAGATTCTCTGATATAGGACTTGAAAAAGGGTGCCACAGCATTGCTAATGAAAGAGCGT